TTCAACCCCATTATATCCTATGGACCATTGAAGTCAATGGCAAAAATATAGGGTATATTCTTGGGGCTGGAGGGGAGGGGGCTTGAGGGAGAGACTCCAAACTCGCAGGGTAGCTGCTGGAGCCTCTCCCCAAGATACCAACCAAGTTTCAAGAGCATTGGACCAGGGGGTCCAAACAGGGTGCTCCTATCCCCTCCATTGTTCTCTATGGTGGGAAAAAAGTTACTTTTTCCCCACCATAGAGAAGAATGGAGGGGATAGGGCAACCTGTTTGGGGCCCCATTGAATTGGACCCCCTGGTCCAATGTTCTTCAAATTTGGTCGGTATCTTGGAGAGAGGCTCCAGCAGCTACCCTGCGAGTTTGGAGCCTCTCCCTCAAGCCCCCTCCCCTCCAGCCCCCAGAATATACCCTATGTTTTCACCATTGACTTCAATGGCCCATAGGATATAATGGGGCCGAATTGCCGACGAAATTCGGCGGCAATTCGGCGGCAAGCCAATTCAGATCAGAGATTCTGAATTGGCCTGCAGCAGTCCGAAAGGGGTCAGAATGGGCCATTTTCGGGGATGCATTCGGTTTGGATGAACCAAATGCACATCTCTACTTCCGAGATCTGATGAGATCGGGCTTGCCTGGGCTATCCATGCATTGTCTTTTTTGAAAGGCCAAATATGTCTTCCTCAAACTCTGCCCACTTATGTGGAGCATCCTCTGCAAGCCTCTGTGCCTGATATGCAATTCTCCCTCTCATTCCTGTGCTGCCAGATGCCTCCCTGAGCCTTTTTGTAATGCTGCCTGCTGCCTGTGGCTGCCAAATTCCTTCTTCTGTGCACTGGGAAAATAAGAGTTTTAACTGCCTGCATGGCCCTGGCTAGACCGATCTCAGCAAATTTCGGAAGCTAAGCAGGGTTGACCTCGGCTAGTATTTGGATGGGAAGTCCAGGGTTGTTACACAGAGGCAGACAGTGGCAACCACCTCTGAATGTCTCTTTCCTTGAAAACCCCATTGGGTCCCCATAAGTCTCCTGCAACTTGACAGCACTTTCCATCACTACCAAGATTGGCATCTGCCTGGATAACTTTGGCGAGGTGTTCAGTCCCTGCAAATTTGAGTCAAATTGGTTGGGAAACAAATTAGTTGAATTGTGGCCAGAATTTTTTCTTTGGAAACCTGTGGAGATAAAAACAAGTTAATGTACAAATGTTGGAAATGAAAAAATAAAATGACCCCTGAAACTTCAGCTTCTCTGTAAATTTTGTTTTTGGGTACAAAGAGCCTGAACTCCGTGTGCAAGAATTGCATGCACTGGGGAAATTGCCAAGGCTGCAACAAAAAGATTTCCAGATGGAAAGACTGTGGTTGCTGGAAACTTTAGAAGGCTTATTTTAAATACTTTTTAAGGCAGTTGGAGAAAGTAGCAGAGCCATCCTTTCCAACTTTATGGGAAATTTACTAACCATTAATTAAAACGTATGTTAGGTACGTTTCTCTAATTTCTGTAGCTTGGCTGTGTATTGTCCCTAATTAGTGTTTCAGTTTGAGGCTGGTGAGTAGTAATTTTATTGGTTTCATCCCCAGGCTTTTCCAGATGATCTGTCACTTTTCTCCAGCCCTCAAACTTTGATGTCTATTAGCGGACTTGTAACTAGCCATCTAGGGTTTCCTTCCTTTTCTTAAGATCCAAGCTTTAATGATTCTAATGATGCTCTTTCCAAATTTAACTTTAGAACCAGGAGAGTCTGCAGATGTCTTTGTTTTTTTGCCGTTATTTTAAATGGTGTCTCTCTTCTGCTTCTTGTAATATATCTTTTTTGTGTGTGTGTGTGTGTGGGAGTAAGATAGCTGGACGATCCATTCACTTGCAGTTCCTTCAGTGTCCAGAAAGATCTGTGCCTACTATCATGGCCAAAGACTGCATTTAGCGTTCTTTTTAACTTTCTGCATTGTTTGTAAAGGAAGCCTTCTTAAAGCATCCTGTAGATTGGGCAGTCTCACAACTCAGTTTTCCGTGATAAGGTCTTAGCCTTGTGCTTCATCTGTCAAAGTACAGAGGGGTTGTTGTGGACACTAGTTCATTTGGTAGGAACATTGGGTTGGATGCCAAGAATGAGTAGGGCTGTAAATGTGGAGCAGTTCTTTCCTGCCTTCACCTTCCTAGTACAGTTCCATGCACTTCCTGCACCATAGCCCACACCTTTTCAGCCTTCTCTGAAAAACTGTTGTACAACCCTTGGGAAAGGCGTGGGGCACAGTGTGGGAGAGTTACAACTGTAGGATGAAACAGAAATTGTGCCCGTGTTCTTGCTCGAATGTTGCACTCGAACCAGGGCTTATAAGGACGAGAAAAAACCTTATTTTGGTGGGAACCTAATGGTAAAATCTGTGGTTTCGCTCCACTTGACCTCTCTAAGAGACCGTGAGAATGGAGAACATGGAGGCTTAAATGTTACTGTGCTTCCCTGGTTCTGAAACAGGGTTCTAGGCTTTATCTTTACTGCACTTCTAGACTCTTCCCTTTTCTTTATGGCTAAAATA